TTCCCTCCTTCTGAGGGCGCCCCGGGACTGTGCAACTTGCCCAAGGCTACACAGGCTGGGCACAGTGGGGAATCAAACTGCCAACCTCTGGCTCCAGAGGCCCTTTAAACACAGAACCTAGGTTGCTCACTAATAATTTACAGTAATATTTATGGTATGACTTCAACAGCAGCCTTGCTTACTTTTGGGAGGTTTCTTCACATGCTGACCTGGTCCACTCCTGAAAATGCATGACCTAGCAGATGCTACCTTGATGCATTTATTGGAGTCTGAAGATGTCTCACTTTTCTCTTTGTTTTCTGAATTCTTTGATCTAGCCAACAGCAATGACATAGACAATTTATTGACATTTTAAAAAGGGTCAAGTCTCAAAGATACGTAATAAGTCCCAATCACCTGCTTTTGCCAAGTGCAAAGAAAGCAAGGATAGGCTAAATTATCTCTGTCCTAGAGAGCCCAAAAGCTATGTGGTCTGGCAACTTCTCTTCATTTAAAACTAGAGGAGTTACAGAATTAGGAGATTGACAGAATCTATGCTTATTCTCCTATCTGAAGAGGCCCCATGCTCACCCTGTCCTTCAAGTTTCTGCAGCACTACTAGTCATTTAATTCATTTAATTAGACCGGGCCTCAGTCATCTAGAAGACTTTACACCAGAATATTTTGAAATGCTGTGAGGGGATCACTACCAGTGCCCCAGGTGGGCCATCTGCCCTTGGCCCTGCAGCCCCCTTGGAAGGCCACTGTGAGAGAGACAATTCCTGGACACCAGGAAGGCATGGGGAAGGGAAGACAGGTCCACCGAGGAGCTCAGTGACAATGGACTAGGGCAGCCATTTTCAATGGGGGTTGTGTTGCCCCCTTAGGGGGACCTGGTGCAATTGAAAAATGTGAGAAGGCGATCATCTATTCATCTTTTTGTGTTGTATCCTTGTTTACGGGGGGTGGGGAACCTGGAACCTGAGAAGAGCTCCAAAAAGAGCTATGGCAAAAAAAAAAAGCTTGATAATGGCTGCACTAGAGTATGTTGATTAAACCAGAAAAAAGCTTGATAATGGCTGCACTAGAGTACTGTACTGTATGTTGATTAAACCAGAGGGGATTTAGTGAGTCCACTCCTCTGTAAGTTCCATTGATTCAACAGGCCTATTCTAGTACAATATATTATGCTAAGCCAAAGGATTTTGGCCATTAGGCATTTAATGTATAGATACATCAAGAGAGGGAACATACACTTGGTTCGTAACACTGAAATGCCAGGATGACCATTTCCCCTCAGTTTTAGGGAGAGCTTAACAGGACAGCAGCAGATCTATTCCAGTACATGGGAGTAGGGTGAGGTGCCGGGGAGCATAGCTACTAACCATCTTTTTCCATTTTACCATCTACAAAACTTCCTTCTACCTAGCTTTCCCATACTCAGACTCCGAAACCAGGCTCCAAGAAGACAGGTAAGGAGAACATCAAGAGAATAGGGTTGAGGTGGGAAAATCCAGCCCCATACAGATTTCCCCCATCTGCTTGAAAAACATCCTATGTCTCATAACCAACTCTAAAATTGAAGCCATGCACACACTATCACAAAGTCTAGCTCCATCCTAATTAGACTTATTAGTGGCACTTACTTAGACTGAAGTTGAATAAGAGGCCCTGAGGTGCCATAGATGTCTTGCTGACCGCGAAGACGTCTGGGTGACTTTGCCATGCCATGTATGAAAGCCATTTTGACTTGGCGGCCTAGTATAAAACAACAAAGCCTTCTTCAGAGGCTGGTCTGGACCAACCTAAAGTATTTTGCTCAGAAAAATGCAACCATAGCTAGTAGTCATTAGAATCTTAGTTTTCAGAGGAATTAGAGGTTGAAATAGACAATAAAATGACACAGATTTAATGCCAGACTGTGGTTTGCAAGAATGTTTTAGGCTGACTCTAGACAAACCATGGATTGTAAGTAGCAGCCGAATCAGTTGCTGAAGTCACTACAGTACTTTAATGCTGACTTCAACAAGCAGTTTGAGACAAACCAATTTGGCACTGCATCCAAAATAACAAAATTGATTTTGGATATTGCTTCACCCTCAGAAATCACTGCTAGAAAAAAATTTGGGAAATCTTAGGTTAGCTAAGGGAAGCAGAAAACTTCATGTAACCATAACTGTCCTGTACAGCTGGAACATAAGTTATGGCCAGGCATCTGAATTTCATTTGCCTCCAATCATACTGTGGTGATATGTCTAAACCAGCCAAGGGGCTTCAGTTTATTATCTGGTTAGCAAATTAGTGCCTCCATACCACACCTTTAGATTTGTCAGACTGAGCTGAAAGAATGTTTTTGGTGAGAGACTTCAGTTTTTCTTCTCTTTGATTGAAGAGTCTCAGGTACATTTCACGCCATGATTCATATTCCAAAGGCTGCTCATTTCTGAAGTATTTTTGACAATGTATCTTCCATAAGAGGTCAGATTCATCCACAAATTTCTATTTTAGGCCAAAAACAAAGTCCATTAAGATATTTTAGTTTAGGATTAGAGGAGGGCAGGACATCAGTTACTACAGAGAAGTGGGAATTTCAACAGATGTATGACAACATGTACCACCACCACATACCCTATTCTACACAATGTCAGAAGTTATTTCTTTCTTTGCACCCAAGCATCCTGATCTATGTGACAGTCACTTTAAGGAACTGCTATAAACATCCTTTTTTGAACATCATCATCATGTGCCATCACGTCAATTATACTTTACTACAGAGAAGTGGGAATTTCAACAGATGCAGCTTTGCACCTTGTATGACAAAGTGTACCACCACCACCACATACCCTATTCTACACAATGTCAGAAGTTATTTCTTTCTTTGCACCCAAGCATCCTGATCTATGTGACAGTCACTTTAAGGAACTGCTATAAACATCCTTTTTTGAACATCATCATCATGTGCCATCACGTCAATTATACTTTAGGGCAGCTCTTTCCAGGGTTTTCCAGGTAGCGAATACCTTGAAGTTATTTCCCATGCTCTCTTTCTGGGGGTGTCCTGAAACTGTGCATCTCACCAAAGGCCACACAGATTGGCCCTACTCTCCCATGCTCTCTTTCTGGGGGTGTCCTGAAACTGTGCACCTCACCAAAGGCCACACAGGTTGGCTGTACTCACAGGAGGCACAGTGGAAAATCAAACTCCCGACCTCTGATTAGACAGCCAGATACCTAAACCACTGAGCTATTAAGTCAGCTCTTTGGAACACAGGCACAACCAATAACAAATAATTCATTTCACTTGTATTTTTGTTTACTTTAAAAATCTGCTTAGAATTTTCATTCAGTTTCCCAGTTTAGGATATTTATTTTATTTTATTTATTTATTCGATTTTTACCCCGCCCCTCTAGACCACTGGTTCTCAATGCCTCTGATTAGACAGCCAGATACCTAAACCACTGAGCTATTAAGTCAGCTCTTTGGAACACAGGCACAACCAATAACAGATAATTCACTTCACTTGTATTTTTGTTTACTTTAAAAATTTGCTTAGAATTTTCATCCAGTTTCCCAGTTTAGACCACCAACTGTGCTGGCTGGGGTTTCTGGGAGTTGCAGGTCAAAAACATCCGAGTAACAAAGGTTGGGAACCTAGGCTCTAGACAACGTCTACTCGGGGCAGCGGTACACATACCATTGGCCAAAATCCTATTAGTTATGCCCACAAGCATAATGCAAACAGTGTAACTATCATAGTCAAATTACCTCCAGTTATGAAATCAGTGTAGCCCTCATCAGTTGTGCAGCCAGTAGAATAACTCAGCGCACACAACAAATAATGACTTGGGACTTCTTGATTTGAGTCAATCTGCCTCCGAAAGTCATGTCATTTGCATTATATCAGCGTAAAACCACAACAAGATTTTGGCCATTATAAATAGAATGAACCAACAGTGTTTCTAGGGTAGAATTCAAAACAGTTATTGAAAGGACCCCTCTGCTATAGAATGAAACTATTTTTTTCTTTGTTGGTTAATGTTTCATTCTGTAGCTGAGGAGTTTGGAGTTTTTTCAAAGCTGTTGCATCTGTTTGGAGCTTTTGTCAATCACATGTGAATTCTGACATTTATGGTAGAGGAAAACCAGCGCGATGTGTGGTTACAGTCTGAGACTGGGACTTGGGAGACCCAGGCTCAAATCCTGGAACCACTGGGTGTTCTTGGGCCGGTCTCTTCCTCTCTCTTCCACCCTCTCTCTCCCTCATGCCTGAGCAACAGGGCTGTTGTGAACATAAACATGAAAAAGAAGAGAGTGTGCTGCCTTAGGGTCAATGGAGGTAAAGCAGGACATAAATGTAACCATTAAACAAATAAAGCCATGACATTCTTGTGTCCCATGCTGAGTAACATGGATTATCTCCTCTAGAGTTCATGACATCTCCCCACCCCCATGTTGATCTACGGAAGAGAAAACTGAGTCCTATTCACACCCAAACAGTGCGGAAGAGATGCACAGATGGGATGGGGGGAAACCCCATCAATACTGCATGGCCTCCTGACATGTAAAAAAGCAAAAATAGATGTATCATTTACTGGATTGCAGTCCTCTATCCGAAGCAACTGTTCTGGTGTACAACGAGTCAAAACAGGTTCTAGCATTTCAAAGGGGACTCCTCCGACTTCATGAAGCACTAGAAAGAAAGAATACCTCCACAATTATTTCGTTGTGTCAGAGCGCCACCCCACACCTGCCACAGTACCAACCCAGTTTTCACAATGCAGTCACTCCGAAGAGGAGAAGTAGCAGCAAGGAGAAAGAGGAAGAATATCAGATGCTTCCAGCAGGACCAACACAAACCGATTGTGCAGTTATTTCACATTCCCCCCCCCCCGATGGGTTTTTCATAGCAAGGAAGAAAAAGAAGGAAGAAGTGGTTAGATGTAATTGCAATTTGTGTGGCCAGCAGCCTGGCCACACAAGGAAGTTTTGTTGGCCCTTCAGTCACAGGTTTCTCATTCCCCCTGTATTGGTATATTTATAAGTAAAGTAAACAAAACAAACACGGCATATGCTTCCGTTGCTGTCGAATGGGAAGGAAACCTGATGCAGGTAAGACCGCCTTGGGCTATCCTCACCATTAGAAGCATGCAATCTTTTACAAGGCTGAAAACCAAGATGGTATGATGCCCCCAACCTAAATCCCAAGTCAAGGGTACCGGCATCTCCACTACTTACAGTCAATGTTATTTTGAAGCACACGGATGCATTGTTCATACAGAGTCAGCATTTTTGAAAGATAGATCATTTTTGACCCAGAGTTCATTTGCACTTTGGAGTTCCTCCTCTGTCCTAAGAACTGAACACTTTCACCTTTTGGCCTGGGTGTTTCTGTGACTGGTGGAGCTGCAGAAGGGGTACAATGGAAGGACAAGCTTGTTTCTAAAGAGCTATTGTCTCTCTAAAGAGCTTTGGGAAATAAAGGATAAATAATCTTTCAACTCTGTCTCTCTCTCACACACACACACAACACAAACAAACAGAGAGAGAACTTCATTTCATATACAACACATACAGATTAGATTCATATTAACTTTTAATTCAATATATTGATGTTTGTTTAATAGATCTTGACTTTTCCATTCCTGAGTGTCCTAATTTTTCATAGTGTCAATGAGCCTCTTTTTTGTGTCTGCCCTTTCCTCCAGTAGAAATCTAATATTTGTCAAACAAACATATAAACACCTTCTTGCCACATCTCCAACCATATCTCTATTCTATCTCTTTTTCACTTCCTTTTCCCAAAAATTGTGAAGAAACTATGAGAGTTACATACAAGTGGAACAGTGGAATGTTACCTCTCTGTCATTTTACTCTGAACAATCTTGTGCCATAAACATATTCTAGATCACCTGGGAGGGGTATCCATGAAATCAGTTGTCTAGAACAGAGGCTGGTAACTGGTGCTTTCTGAATGTTTATCACAACAGCTTCCATCAGCTCTAGCCAGTATGGGCAGCAGGTGGGGATTACAGAAGTGGTTGGCCAAACCCTCTTGACCTGCATCTGATCTAGGGGTGTTGTGTGGCAAGCAGTGTCACAGATTTATAAAAGGGATGGGCAACTTTAGTGGGCTCTGGGCATTAAATTTGTGTCCCAAACATTCATTAGGCCTATAAGAAGCCAGAAAGTAAGTGAATGGCTGAGTGAGTGAGTGTCCGTCTGTCTGTCTGTCTGTCTAGACCACCACTTCCAGCTTGTTGAGTTTTGGAAGAGCTTTGGAAAGTATATCTCCTCAATTAAGCTAAAGGAAAACCCTGAAGGCAGTTAGATCCTTATCTACAAGGAAGCTAGAATATAGGAAGCTGGCCATGCTGATTTTAAAGAAAGAAAATGAAGATGTTGGAGGTGAATCTAGGGCCATACTGCATGCGAAACACTACTGAGCAGCAGCCTTCCCCTTATTAGAGGATTCAGCACGATCCTAATAGCTAAAAGCAGCTTTTTGCTATTCATTTCTCTCTGGAGCAAAGCTGATCCCCTGAGGAATGCGAAGTTCTAGTCCATTAGATTTTGCTGCCTGAAACAAAGGAGAAAATGACACCTCCATCTTGAGCCACCTATAGAAGCCAACAAGACGGGCAGCTTAATTTTGCTGCAAGGATGGTAACAATGAAAGTGTCCTTCACTGCACTTGTGAACCTCAGATTAGCTTAATAGGTGCCCATCAGAGGAGAATGGCCTGGACATTTAGTTGAAAGAAGATTGGGAGATGGCTACCACAAGCATGCCTCCTACCTGCCCCCACTATCTGCCTGCCTGAGGCTGCCACTTCACTCTGCCAAATGCAAAGAAGGGCAGTGACCTATGGTCAGACACATAGTGTTGATTCACAGCTCCCATCATCACTTACCATTGGCCATGTTGGCTGAGGCTGATGGGAACTGAAGTTCAACAATATCTGGAGGACCACAAGCTCCCTGCTCTCATGGTGATCCACAGGGTCCCTTCCAGCTCTGCAGTTCTAATATTATGATGGTGGTGGTGGAGGAGGAAGATCAGCCCTTGTGTAACCCTGGGTGTAGACTTTTTGTCTAACATATCTCATGAGCTGGTGAAATAAATCCCTATTCTTAGAAATACAAAACCAAACTTGCAAACTACTCTTTGGGAGCGCCAGTAAGGAGGGGGTGGAGACTGTCAGGACTGCTCCCAGATTTGTTCCACCTGGAGATGATTGCGGCTTTCCCAAAATGGGTGGTGGCCAGACGCCAAGATTCACAGTAAATCCAA